CTCAGCAATATCAGGAATGATATAATAAACAGCTTTCAAATAAACTGCATTCAGTACATTACAATACTTACAGTATTAATACCCATCCTTAATTCCATTTTTTGTAGCATACCAAACTTCAGAAGAACTAGGAAAGCCTTAAAAAAATAAAGACAGGCAAAATGTTGCACTTTTTTTATACCTTTAGTGTCTAACTGCAAAAAAAAACAAGTGTGTATCAACTGCTAGCTTAACCTTTGAGCCGAGCACATACAGTGCACTAGTTAAACCCAGAAAGTTATTCAAGTAATGTTGACTCACTCAGAAACACTCTGAAGCATCTTCAAGTATGGCTATGCTTGTAACCCGCTATATCTTAGACACCTCGGCTTTCTCAACCACAACCTGCTACTGTAGCTGGGTACTGTACAATGAATTCAACATTTTTATGTAGATTTACTTTACAAAATTGGAACAGATAAAAGAAAAAAAAACTAGAACTTCTAATGTCGTAGCTAACAGGATACTATAACTGTAAACATTGCTGTGACAGTGACCGTAATATTTACAAAGACTTCCTGGATAATCTAACGATGATCATTCTCTTAACCTGAAAGAGTCAAAAGGATATTGTAGGATATGATGAGGACTGCTGATAGAGAAGCTGTGGGTCAAGTTGACAGAACAAGAAGAACCTACATCAACATCGAAGAATTAGTTGTATTCCTGCAATACAAATTCTTGGTATGTACACTGTGACATAATTTATTTATTTTTTAACACATTTACAATCTGTTTAAATAAAATGTTTGTAATTCTTTATTACATATTTTTTTTCCTGAAAAAGAAATGAAGTGCTAACAGAAATTGAATACGTTAAAGAGTGGGGGAAGTTGTTACTATAACATGAATCATTCCTTTATATGTCGCATTAATTAAATCAGGGAATAAAATCATTATACAATTGCTTAGTGGTTATAAATAAATTTAACTATACACAGGCACAAGGATGTGCAATTACTTTAATCATTGCCCTGGTCTTTCCCCATAGCAAAAGCAAATACATTGCTTTTAACTTAGTCAATATCATACTTTCCCTTTAATCAGCTCAGTGCATATATGTTCAATTACTTTTAAAAGATTACCACCATCATTCTAGCTAAAATAGAAGTAAAGGATTGCAGGAAAATAATTTCATCTGTGTGGGATAGACAATAACCATATTGAGATTCGGGATGCAATGGCAAGTCCCTGAATGAGAAGATGACAAGTTGAATACAGGTGATGAAGACGTACACAAATTAGTTTAAAATGTCCCTGATTTTACAGTAACATCAAAGATTAAAGTTCAAGTGATACTTTTTAGCAGATTGATAAAAAAGTAAGAAATGAACTTTCATGCCTTTACGTGTGCTTAAGTTAAGCTGTTCTCATACAGAGGAAGAAAGAAAAATATGTTATAATCATATTGCCAAACTAATTTTGAGGTATTACAGGTTTGTACTAAACATTATTTAAAAGCCTTCTCACTGCCCCAAGAGTCTCACATTATGTGTCTAGTAGGTTGAATAGCACCTTATGAAATAGTCAGTTGAAACCCAAAGAAATACAATGTTTGCATTTTTACAACACAAAATCTATAACAGCAATTCCAAAAACGGGAAATTAATTTACTGTACAAATCTCAAATGTTTATCTTACAGTTAGATTACAATAATTAAAGACCCCACAGCAAGCCAGCTGCCCTCTGAAACTGACACTGAGCCTACCCTGTTTCATGTTCCTCAGTGTATAAAAAGCATATTTACTAAGCACAAAAGACAAAACTACACGAAATATTCACAATCCAGGTTTGTTCAATGAACCTACAGTAAGGAACATTAAAAACAGTTGCTAACAACATAGAAAACCTGGTAAATATTAAAATAACGCAATTGCAAAGTTTTTTTTCTCAATGTTAAAAATGCACCATTTAGTATGGCTCAATTTACAGTAAAAATGACATAGGAAAGTGAAAGAAGCACCAACACAATGATAGTTCTTAAAATCTTGTTTTTGCATGAACTTGCTTCATGGATTGTGCATTCAATCCTCTTCTAAATTTCTCCATCAAATTTCCGTGATGCTAGGGAATTAATTAATGATATAAGAGCAATTCAACCAGATTTTATGATTTAAAAATATGACCATATTACCAAAACATTAAACTGTTATTATTAAAAAGTGGTCCAAGAAACACTGACTTGATGAAAAGCATTGTGATGCTGATGATTTTACAGTGGGATAATATTTTCAGTGTCCAGCTGAGATTGAGTGTCAATAGTAGAGTGTGTTATGGTATTGTGTGAAGGCATTTGAATTAAAAGAAATGGTATTACAGTTTAGCACCATGAATGTTGTAATTTGCAAAGTCAGTGTATCATGCCAAGTTTCCCATCTCCAAATTTTTGTAAGAAAAATAAAGCCACCATAAAAGAAAGAAAACTTTGTTTCTGTAAAAATAGGTCCTTATGTCTCTATCTAAAAGCACCAGAGAATTTGACACTGTATCTTTCAAAAGTTGCCGAACAAAAATAAATACATCCTTGGTAGGGTCAACTAGTAAAGCTTGGTTGTTAAAGAAGTGAAAGACCTGATGTGATAGGTGATTTTTATCTGATCACAGGTTCCTTTTTCTATACAATGCCTTTGTTAACCTTATGGATAGGAAGGAGTGTTTAAATGAGGCCAGTGGTGCTTGAAGTCTTTGTTTATCATAAAGCCCCTTTAGTTTTCTTCATCATGAGTGTTCTCTACACAAACTTACTGTAAGGTCCTGTGACCTTGGTGAAGGCGTATGGAGATGTACTGACATAGGTGTTTGTTGTGCATGACAAGGACCCCTCCATTAGTGCCTGGATAAAACGCTTGTAAGGAGGCGGAACAGTGGGATCTGATGACTCCGGGTGCTCCCGCTTCACCCCCTTTTTGCTGCCCTTGCTAGGTGTCCCCTCGCCACCATTCCTCTCTGCATCTTCCTCCTTCTCTCGAGCCTTTTCTGCCATCTTGGCTTCCCATAGTGCCAAACCATGCTTGGCCTCATTCATATTTTTGTGCTGGTAGAAGACCAAGGAGATGCGTGTTGGGTGGTTGCGGTCTGGATTTTTAAGGGGTGTTGTGGCGTGAAGCTCCCTTTTCGCACACTCAATCAGGACTGAGCCATGGCTAGGGGCCACTGCCACACCACCAATATCAGGGTCCAAGAAGTTGTGCTCGTTGTCTGACCACATCTCTGGTTTTTTTGGTGTTGTGGGTGTTGGTGGTGTTCCAGGCTCTTGCTTGATACCAGACCCCATGAGGCTTCCATTAGGCAGACCTACCCCTGACTGTGCCTCGCGGTTTAAACACCCACCACCTAACTGAGAAGACGTCTGTGGACTAGGCATGCTTATTTCTGTCTTGATTTGCATATGGAAAGGATCTTGGCCTGTTGGTAAGATCTGAGGGCTCCGAGACAGGTATGGATGTTGGTATCCCCCAAACTGATTGCCTTTGCTCACAGCAGCTGTATAGTCTAGACCTCCATGGGTTGATGGTGCTCTAGAGAGGGGGTCCATAATCTGGGGTTCTGAGGCTCCATTAGGACCATAAGGGCCATAGGGTCTCATGGGGTGAACTGGCCTCATGCTGCATGCACTGTAACCATTGACCTGTAAACCTTGATCATTGTACCTTGGGGGATAATTGACGTCATAACGTTGATGTGCACCATACTGCTGCTCTGAATAAAGCACTGGCCGCTGTTGTCGATACATTTCTAGGTGCTTTGGGTTTGAAGCATAGTATTGATGGTAATTGTCAAGGGGCATTCCTCCATTACATTGATAACCTGGGTATGGACGATTTGATCCATTAATGTAAGAGTTTGGTACATGGAGTGGGGAAGGATAAGGGCTGGCTGGTGTTGGAGGCTGATGAGGATACAAGCTGCCTGGCTTGGAAGTGCTTGGAAAAGACCCAGGATGGTTAGGGAACCTAGGGTAGTTGGCTGCATTTGTAGAGCCAGGATAAGGGGGTAGAATACTCTGGTGCTGTTGTTGTAGTTGCTGAGGATGGACCCCAAGGTGGTGTGTTGGCTGCCCTGGCTGATAGGTTGCTCTCACAGCACCTGGAATATGTCCTAAAAAAAATTTTTTTTTTTTAATGAAGGCCTGAGAAATTTTGAAAAAAAATTACACAAACCACCAATTCTCAATTATCATCAAGTATGAATCTTGTCAATTCATTGCTCTTAGGTTTTCACAATTTGTTAAGCATATTGTATCCTTACAAATAATGAATCCCTACAAAGAGATGCATTTTTATAGACACAAGACGATTAAAAAATTAGTCAGAATAAATGTGACCGTACCTGCCATAGGATTGCTGTGAGTGATATTCTCGTAAGTGCCCGCTTTTGACTTAGCCAGGAGAGCCTTTTCTGCCTTATCATTAGAGCTTTCCAACATGGCATTTTTGTTGGCAGCTGCCTTTTTAGCGTCCAGCTTCTTTTGCCGGCAAGACTTGGCGGGCTCTGCAAGCATGCGCACCTGCCGGCGAAAGGCACTCAGGACTTGGATGGCGCCTGACTTTATTTTCTCCTGTTGACCC